TCAATGGAAAAAATTACCTTGGAAAAGCTACGAGATAAGTGATACTGGCTTGTAGGAACATAAGTCCCCGACAAAGTGGTATTCTAAGACGGTGCACTACCCATATTACGTCCGTAGTAAACAGCTGAAAAAAACCCTTCAGATGAACGATTACCGCCGTCACTTTACAAATGACCACCCCTCATCGGACTTAACACCCCCTTTATTTTTTGGGTCTGGGGTTTGTTAAGTTCCCGAGTTAATCGAATGGCCCATCTCCTTTGGTGGAGTTGGGAAAAGCTGTTCTTCATGAATTTTCCTACATCCAACCGGAAATGCGGTAAAACCTTAGGGGAGCCCACACCCGGCGCAAAACGAAAAAACGCCAAAACCGAACGAGATGGCGCCAAGCGAAACCGGCAATGGCGGCAAGTGAATACAGAGTAAGGTGGGTGCGTAATGAAAAAATATGTAAAGCAAAAGAAATTAAGCATTTAAGATAAAAAAAAAAATAAAAACAGCAATTTTTTACCGCTGATCTTTTCCGGGGATACAGCGTAACGACAGATTTTAAAAAAATCTTGAAGGTGAAATCGTGGAGCGCCGCCATTTTTTTTCTGCGAGGTAATGGTCGAACATACCTTTGGCGTTTGGGGGGAATTTTGGGAAAACGTTTTTTTGCCGACCATGTTACATCATGCCGATCTACATTTAGACATTCTAACTGCAATAAATCCTTCCTTCATGTACTATTCAATCAATTTTTCTAACCCTTTTGATTCAACAAAAAAAAAAATTTAAATATATTCCTTCACATACGCAACCATTCCCAAACCCGGTTCCCCAAAACAAAAAAGGGAAAATTTAAAATACCCCCCGACAAAAAACAAATTTCCAGAAATAGGCTTACCATATCTAGTGTATCAAAGTAGGGTTACCAAGATGGCACAATTATCGCCAACCCAAAATAATTCGCGCCAAAGGTGTGGGCTCTCCTAGGACTGAACCGGAAATGCTACATGCTGGAGTGGACGGTGTTACCACTCGCTTACAAACTGTAATTTGTGGTATTGAGTGACACAGCAATGCGCCGCCAGTGTTGTGCTTCAAATAAATTGTTTTCATATATATATATATGGCACTTATTTCTGTACAGCGCCATCTATAGTAGGGCAATGTAACTAATTTCTTTTCTCAACCATAAAAATTCCGCCTTCCCGAGAATAACTTTTCCGCAAACCGTATTCGAATACATCAATTCCGTAAATTTTTATGCATTTTTAAAGTATTTAGGGACTTATGGGACGCCCGGTATATATATATAGAGAGAGAGAGAGACAATTATATAATAGACAATAACATTAGAAAAAATAATATTACAATGATTTTAGAGAAAACTCAAATATATGCAAATATTTCCAAACAATGCACTATACATCATAAGAAAAAAGTATTTACCTATTTTTCGTTCTTTATAACATAAAAATATTAAAAACTAATAATTTAAAAAACAATCTCCTACGAATAGGAAGAAAATTACGTATGTTTTGGAATTCAGTAGAACGTCGTTTATCCGAATTAATTATGACCGATACGCGATTGCTCGGATAACTGAAAACCGAATGCGATCCATGCAGTATATGAAACCGGACATTCTACGAATATTGAAAATCATCACATGCGGGAAACGTGCTTGAAAAAAAAGCAAAACAGGTGCAAAATGTCACAATTTTGCTCTCATTGTGGAAAATAATCACTTATTTTTTCGCTGCACTATTGCGGCCACCTCGTTTTTCGCTGCAAGGTGTCTTCGAAAAAAACTGGTTCGATATTATTAATTTCTCCCGATAATAAACGTTCGATAAACGACTTTCTACTGTAATATATAAGCATCTAAAGTGGCCGATGCATGTGCGTTGTAATTTAAATGGTTGGAAAACTTGCCCTTTCTATCAAAAACGTCAAAGATGGGAAATGCATGTTTTCAATAACTGTGTTTATATTTTCATAAAACACAGATGTTGAAATAAAATACTTCCTCTTTAAAAAAAGACGACATTGCTCTCCATTCGTCCTTTTCACATCTTTAATCAAAAGTTTCCTCTTCTGCTTATCATATTTTCGCTGCATCTACATTATAGCTTTGAACCTATTAAACTTCAATTTGATTTGTCTGTCAAGTTTTTACTCTGTTTGCTTAGCATAAACATGGATTTTTAAGACAGAAAAAAAAAAAATTAGCTACTTCATAGGATTTACAAATATTCAAAAGTAGATATGAAGAGTTTCCCCGTGTATAAATTCATGCTATCAGCTTTAGAAATGCTTTTATGCATACCACATGTAAAGAGTGCTTTTGAAAACTTAGATGCTAAGGGATGAGATTACTTGCTCACTTCTTAGGAAAGTGCTGGGCTGATATATATAGAATCAATTTTTTAAAAAGAATTCTAAAAATATTACCATTTAATTAGTAAAACACATTTTGATTCTTTTAAAAAGGCAATTTTTTTAAAATGTAAACCTTTAATTTAATTTATATTAGATTAGACAATTTGTGAAATATATATACTGTATTTACTGAATCTAAGCCGCACTATTTTTCTGGTGTTAATACTACTGAAAAATCGGGTGCAACTTAGAGAGGACCGTTTTAACCTTCCTGGCACCCTAGGCACAAATGGGAATTGCTAGTGCCCCCCCTTCCGCTAATTGTTTTCAGAGCACTCCTCTCTTTTCACTTCTTACATTGCTGTGTTTTAGTCTCACAGGGATTTTCTCTTAACTCTCTTAGATTCTTTTCTCTTTTTTTGTTTTTGCTGCTTGGAGAGATTTTTCATTATGCACCACATATGGACCCACCATGTTCTCTGGACTGGCAATCGTAAGGAACGGATAATGACATGGTTTGGCCACTTTTATTCATTTCTTATTTACGACATCATGAACCACTCACCTACCCTTTTGTAAATTAGTGCTCTAAATTAATGAAATCGTTTGTAATTACTGTATAGATTATACATTATTGTACAAACTGTGTTCAACTTGTTAGTTATCATCTTTTTCATCTCTTATTGCCTTACTATCTTTTACTTTTAGACATCTTTATTCTTTGTTCAGTCACTGTTATTGTATTGGTATAACAAAGGTTTTCTTCGAGCTTTGATCGTTGTAAAATCATTAATAACATCATTGTGATCAATTTCCATTGTAATATCATTTTAAGTGTGCAGCAACATGAAACTGTTAAGCTTTTCACTTTCCCTAGTAAATCTCCTTTCAGTCTTTGTTCTCTTAAGAGCAGAAATCCTTCTTTCATGACTTGTGTTTGGTGGAGGTATGTTCAATGTAATGTTGATTATGTTTCATTTTTTCGCAGTCCAGTTTTCTGCGCCCCCAAATCTTTTGCGCCCTAGGCAGGTGTCTAGTTTGCCTAAGCGGAAAACCGGCCCTAAACTTAGAATCGAAGGCAAAACATTTGTTGGATGATGGAAATTGAGTTTCCACCCTTTCAAAAGGAAAAATGTAGCCGTCCATTCTGACCACTTGCATCGATGACTCATCCCATTTCACAGTTTTTTTATCTCCAGTAATTCAGTCTACCCTAAACATCGTTGTCTGCTCGTATTAAGGAAAAAAATTTTGTATACGCTTTCTTTTAATCACCTAAACAGCAAAGATATCGGTAATAGCATCAAGACGAGGTCACTATGATGCAAGTATAAAAAGGGAGGAAATTTTATATTCAGAATAAAACGGAAACAGAGTAGCCACTGAAAATTTGATACGGATGAAACAAATATACGTCGATGGCGTAAACAAAATTAGATATTTATTTTTGCTTGTAAATGTTCAACATTCTTTAATAACTCTTTTGCATTCTTTTATACTCCAAAAAGCCGTCAAGCCGCAAGTTCTTTCGTTTGGTAGATGGGAGGCTCCTGATTATCTCCAAGGTCATCTTAACCCTAACTATAAAATCCTTATCTTCAAAAATATCTGTTCTTTAATAGAAACTTTATGTGATATAATCCCTAATGACATAAAAAACAATAAAAATCAACATTCTATTCTATTTATCAACATTCAACATTATTACAACATTCTATTCCCTTTTACTTTAAGAAATTGCTTCCGGCTGCTGCTGAATGATTGAAGAAAATCTGACCTGCTGAATCGCGCGGGGACGATATTCATGACGGATAGAACCGGATTCGTTTGGAATGAAGGTCAGGAAGTGAATCTTGGCTTATTTGAGAGAGAAATTACAAAGACGAATCTTGGTCGATCAGATAAGTTTGATGGCGAATGAATCGGAATCGTTTGGTACAAAGGGAGTCTTATCCGCACAGTTCAACCCATCAACTTTCTTCGAGTATTGTGACGTCATCAGGAATAGCGATATCTCGACCAACTGTTAGCAGACAGCTACATGAGAGTCATCTGTATTCCAGACTGGCATCAGTTCGTGTCCTATTGACGTTGTCTCACGGAAGAGCTCAGTTACAGTGGGCTCTGGATACGTACAATGGACACCTTAACAATGGGTTAATGCAACGGTTCTTAAGCTATGGTTCATGGACCCCGAGGGTCCCCAGTGCCTTTCTAGGGGCTCCGTGAAGGCCTCTAATTTAATATATTAATATTTCCCCATTTTGCAGACTTTGAAAAGCTGCAGATTGTTGAGACTGCACATTTAAAATATTACTCCTGGTACAACAACATTTTTAACAAGTAATATAAAAAAGATTTTTTTTAAGTCAATTTTTACTTAGGTCAACAAAGAAAAATTTTATTTTAGTTACTTTTTATTAAATACTTACAATTATTATAAATATGTATATACATACGACAGAATCACAATATTATAAGTAACGTAATAGAAAGCGATTTTCCTTTCTATATAAAGAGTTGGACTATTTTTTTCCTCTCTCTCTCTCTGACTATTTATTTATTATTAAACTTAATTATTCTACTAAAATAGTATAGTAAAAAAGAAATCACATTCTCAGAAATTATGCAATCCCAGGAGGGATTTGAACCCACGACCTTTGGATTAGAAGACCAACGTGCTATCCATTGTGCTACAGGGACACAACGGCAGATTTTCCTTTCCATATATGCTGTTGGACTATTGTTTGTTACCATTTATTCATTTTTTAATTTAATTAATGAGTTTATGTTTGAAAAACTGTATTAACATCAAGTGTCATCCACTACAAGTTTAAAAAATGTACTTGAACTTGAATGGATGAATAGAAAGTATTTTATTAACGATTGAAAATTTGAGCAAAATATATATACCGTAAAATTCGGCGTATAGCGCGCACCTATACTTTCAAGCTTTTTTTTTTTAATTTTTAGCTATGTTCACCGTATAACGCGCACCCAATTTTTTAGGAAGAAATCTGAAATGTTAGTATACAAGGCTCTTATGTTTTTGAAGTCATTTATTCGAGGTATTATCCTAGACTTTTGAAATAATAGTATATACTTCTGGAACTACAACTCTCTCTCTCTCTCTCTCTCTTTTAGTTCATAAGGCATGTCATTTCTTTTAAACAAACAGTATTACGACATGTATAGAAGTCTAACTTTTTTTATGCTCTTCTCTTATTTTTCTAATTTTTGAATCTATCGTTTTTTCCCCGGTATAACTCAAACCCTTTAAATTTTATCTTATTTTTTTAGTTATACACCGATTTTACTATATAAATAAATATTATAGGGAAAAAAAAGGTAAAAATAGCAGGAAATTTAAAAAAACGATCCCCTTCTTCACGTACAAATTTTAATTAATACAGTTAAATAAAATATTTATTTATTTGAAATTAGTGGTTTTCTAATATTTTTATATATAAAGATAATTTCTGTTTTCTAAGGGCTCGACTTTAAATTGAAATTTTCAATTTTTTTAAAAAAAAGTAAACCTCAATATTTCTGAGATTTTGGTACCAAAATTTTTGTTGATACTGTGAAAAATTTTGAAGTTATTGGAAAAAATAGTGAAATTTAAACGAAAAAACCCCCTTCTTTTTTATTTTTTAACTTCATTTTTTTCCCAAACAAAAAAATTTAGCCCCTTTTAATTTTCAGAAACTATTTATGTTATCATTTTTGAAATTTTATACCGGTTCAAAATAAAACTCTTCATAATTTATACATCAATTTTCAAAAAAAAAAAAGAATTTTTTTTTTTAATTTTAATTTTTTTTTTCTTTTAAAATTTTTAAAAGTTTTGTTATAATTTTATTTAAAAAATATTTTTTTTCCTCTAAATTTTTTAAAAATTAAATTTTAATTTCAAAATGAATATTTTTTTCACCAAGTAAAAAAATTTTGTAAATTTGATCAATTTTGTACTTAGAATCCTTGCGGGAAAAAAAATACTAATTTTTCAATTTTTTTGAAAAATTGTCCAATTTTTTTTCTTTAAAATTTTTTAATTTTTTCGCAAATTCCCCGGGAAAATTGGAGAAAATTGTAAATATATATATTATCATGTGGTAAAAATTTCAAATTATTGTTTTGTTTCATTGCTAAGTTACATTGTTTTGAAGAAGGATGTTTTTTTCTAGTGCACGGATATTTGGCAAGGGTCCTGTGAGCCCTTAAAGGAATAACAGAAAAGTTTAAAAAAATCTGTATAAGCAGCGGAGGGAGGAATATTCGAAATCTAGGGGATCCGCGATGTCAAGCTGATATATAAAGGGGCGTCCGGTGCAATCGAAAGTTAAAGAACCGCTGGATTAATGTATCGTTTATATACTACCGAGGAGTTTCGATTTTGCAGAAACAATGATTCCCGATGGATACAGATCTGAAGAATCCCAGGAATTCGATCTCAAGCTCATCATATCACTGAAAGGCATAGCTGTAGCCATACTGGTGTCATGATCAGAGCAAGGACGTCTATCGAGATCCGAACTGATCTCCAAGTCTTCGTCTCAGTTCAATCACTGCATTTATTTATCTGGATGAAAACCTTGACCCATTTGCTCGTCCTTATTTGGCTACCATATGTCCTGATGGCATGTTGAAAATCGATAACACAAAAGTACACAGAGTGTCAAAATAGACTGCAACAGTGTATTTACTTTTCTTTTTGTTTAATAAATTCTACGACTCATAAAAGTTGGTGGGATGTTAAGAGGTGTGTCCGAAAACCGTGTTGTTTTGGAATCAGAATATTATTATTGGTGGTTACATTAAAACTCTATTTATAATTTCTTTTTCTTCTAATTTACTTCCGATAAAGGGTAATGATATTGGTCTGTGATATTTTCAAGAAGAGATTTTTCCAAGTTTTAAAAAACGGGGCAACCTGATGAAAATCATCATGTACTCGTGAAATATTTTAATTTCTTTAAGACTAGTTATTTTAATAATCATTAGAAATTAGATTTTTAAGCATTTTATTACTTACACTATCCCAACGTAGAAATTTTTATCTTGTTAATATATTCATATATCTCCCACGGTAAGGTAAGGGGGTAGGCTTGGTATTTAATGTATTGAATGGAACTCTTCAAGGTTATGTTGAACTCAATTCAAATAGGTTTTTTTGTGGGTGTTCGATTCCAGTGCGTGCTTTCAAATTCAAAATACATGATTTCATATTCCAACATCATTTTTTCAAAAATTAGATTTGTTCACATATTTTACATTTAAATCTTTGTAATCTTATTCTTTCAAATAGAAACAATAAATAAAAGGAGATAAAAATGTATATTTCTTTCAATTTTTATATGTATTTTGAAAGATCAGCGGCATTAGCATCTTTTTTCTGTTATTTTTTTTCCTTTTGTTCTTTTTTCCCCTCTGTTGAAAATACATTTATAGCAGAAAATACTCACAAAATTTCTTTCTTTATCGAAAAACTGATGTAATTTTTTCTCCCAGATATTTAAAAATAATTTTTTATTAATTTTATAATGGATATGTTATGGGTTTAATATAGTGTTATCTCAAGAATTTAGAATTAAAAATATATATATATATTAACTGATCTCGCATCTTAAAATTCTATACAGAAATAAAGGAATTATTAGCACTATATATTTTCTATATTCAAATGTGTGTAATTTAAATAATTCGTTCCCTTTCTTTAGCTCTAGAAAACATAGAAAAAATTACTTTTTTAATCTACATTAATCATAATGAAAAATTAATAAAGGGAATAACGCTTTGGTCATATGTAGTGTATATTAAGCTTTGGAAGAGAGACTAGTACTTAACAAAGAAATATTATACTAAAATGTTAAAATAATGAGTAAAATGTATTTTAAGATGTTAATTTTTAAAGTGAAAAAGATTAATATGCAATGACTTGGAAACTTCAAAGAATAACAAAGAACTTGAAAAAAAAGGCAATCTATTTTTTAGAATGGAAATGGTTATGTGCCCAAATGATTCTCAAAAATATTACCTAATTTTATTAAGATACGAAAGTAAAAGTTTTTATAATTATACATCTATGTGGAAAAAATTATTTTCAATGAATAACAGCAGAAATTTTGTCTCTGATACTATAAGTCCTACCTGTTTGAGCATGACTGTAAATAACATTAAAATAATTCATATAATTATCAATCAAAAAACGAAAAAAGATAAAGTCATCTCTATAAAATAACTAACACAAAAAAAATTTTAAAAGTATAAAACATCATTTAAAGTAATATAAAAAATTTTTTTTTAAGTCAATTTCTATTAGATCAACAAAGAAAAATTTAATTTTAGCTACTTTTATTAAATAGTTCATAATATAAATATGTATATCATAGACAGAATCACTAAAGTGGTAATTAATTTTTTTAAATTATTTTAAAGTATCGTATTGTTATTCATAGAATCGTATATATAAAATTTCAGTTCCACTGAATGTTTTAAAAACGTGAGAAAACCTTTTCAAGTTTGACACGTCTCCAAAATGGTCACTAAGTCACTAAAAATGATGCCATCGTGTCTGTATTTGTAATGCTTTAAATAATTAGTAATAATCAATTAATTTTATTAATTATAATTAAATTACTGTATTGTCATTAAAATAATTTTTGTATTTTAAAATTTCACCCTCAACTGAGCGCTTTAAACTGTATTTTATTAACGATTGAAAATTCCACCAAGATAAATAAATAAATAAAAATATATAGAGGAAAAATTGATTTTGATGTAAAAAAAGAAACCCAAAGTAATTTAATACAAATATATTTCGAAATAAAAAAATGTTTAACCCAACCTAGAAAGGCCCCATAACAGATGGAAAAATCAAATCTTACCGACTTTCGGTAGGTTGGGAAATTTCCGAATCGATTCCAACAAATGATGGGATAATATAGAAGAACATTTTCATCTCGGTAGATGTATGAGAAAAAAATAAAATAAAATTAATTTATTATAGCCGTAATGACAAATATATTATGGCCAATATTCCAAGAATAGAAGTAGCGTTCACTCATTGTTAGATACAGAACCAAAACAGAACCTTTTATAGCTTTTGTAACAATAATTAAATACAATATATTTTTTGAAAACCAGGGATTAGAAAACAATATGTGCACGAAAATTTCAAATTTCGACTGTTAACAATTTCGCAATATCGAAGTATTTTTAAAAATAAAAACGAAACTCTGAATTAAAAGAATTTCAGGTAGTTAAGTGTAAACAGAAATGGTGTGTGTTTCATTAATTTTTAAATATATACAAAAAATTATGCTGAGGAGAAAAAATTAATATTCTTTTAAAGTCTCTAATGGATCACATAGTTTGAACCATGGTCATGTGACGAGGGAGGACACCTGAACTAGTACCTCTTTTTCCTAATGCCCACACCTCACCTACGACCTCCTCAACTAAATTTCCATTTTACGTTTCAGTGAGGATTTTAAGGGCACTACGAATTTAACATGCATCACCCCTTTACATGGCGACTCTTCAGTGGCATCAGGACTCGAACTCAAGATACGACAAAGCCCAGGCCCCATTTCATTACCATGCCCACGAAAACACGAAGTTTGCGTCAGATAACTTTAGTAATGAAGGGGGTGACACCCCGAATGGAAACATTTTTCCCCAAAAAATTAAACCCTTTTTGA